CGAAGCTCCTTCCTGCTTCACCTGGCCAGGTGCCACACACACACTGTTTCCAACAGCAGCCATCACAACACATGGCATTATCTGAACTAAAGGTCTCTTTTACAGTTTTCTGGATAGTTAAGTATTTTGTGAAGTCCTCCCATGTAATGAGTCTGAGGCAGCACTGAATTGCTGAACTGAGGTGAAGTTGCTCATAGGCGATTTCCAGCCCTGATTAGTTAAGAGTTATATGGCTGAATACTCAGACACAGGCTTACACAGCCTGGCCCCGATGGCCCCAGAGCAGAGTGCCTCAGGTGCTGCGGCCCAGCAGCAGTATCCTACTGCAGGCGTCTCCCGGTAGGTTTTATTAAAGGGAACTTACAGGGCGGTGAGATGAGCAGGGCCAGCCCCCACACCACACTGCAGCCCCTGGCAGCCCCTCTGCTCTGTGCTGCACCAGGTACCCAGCCCACTGCTGTCACACCTCCTTCCCTGCCCACTGCAGGCGCGTGACCACCACCACCTGCCCCATTCTTGCCGCTGCAGTCACCGTTTGTGCTCAGAGAACAAGAAAAGCCAGCGATGGCTGCAGAAACCAAGAGCGCTCGCATCAGCCGACTCGAGGACTTGGTGTGTCAGCCAGCTCCAACACTGCCCTGCGCGGTGCACGCCGACGCGAGCAGGATGCGTGGTACAGAGGCACTGTGTTCACCAGCGCTAGCCTGGCTGCTAGCTGGCCCTGGCTGCTGTGCAGCCGCAAACTGCCCGCAGAGCCAGGTTGGCACCCGAAGAGCTGGGCTCCCCCCTCCCATGCAGAGGGGGGCCTCAAGGAGCCAGCTGGCTGCTGCTGCTGCATTGGGCCAAGTGAAGGTGTCCCCACTTTGTACCAATAATTAACTCTTTTTTTTCAGCAGGACCAGAAACTGTACCCCCTCATCTAATAGTTCAGGTGAACACAGTGTCAGTTTGGGTTTTGTGAATATTTAATATTATCTCAGTTGTATAAAGCTAAAGAGAGAAAGGAAGAGGAGTAAGGACAAGATAGCAACCCTCTTAGACAAGCAAAAATCAGCTAGCAAACACTACTCATGGATGTTTTAAAACCTTTGACTTAACCCAAGAGGTTAGGTTAAAAAGCTTTATATACACTAAACTACTGCTCATTTCTCTTTGTGTGAAAATGAACAGGAAAAAAAAGGCCATAAGCTCCATAATAAGGGGGCACCAGATGTAGCTGTTCTGTTAGCACTGAAGCTGAACATGCTGTTTCTGGAAGGATGTTTTAGCAAGCAGACCTGCTTTGACCTACCCTATGCTTCTTGAAAAAGCTCCACTGTTTTGCCACAATAAGTGGGTTTGGATGTTTCAGTTCTCAGTTATAACAAAGCTTACACATTTGTTGCTGTGTCCAGATCTGAAGCCAAAGATACCACACGGATGGCCTAGATGGCAGAAGTTTGCCTTCAGCAGAACCAAAGGACTCCAGCTCTGGACCCCTTACCAGCAGATATTTTAATATGAGAAGTATTATAGACTTGTGACACAAGTATTTGAGTGGTTTTCTTAACAGTACAACAGGCAGCCTGTTGGTCTGAGGTTGCATACATGAACAAAACACTACAACCAGGATCTAAAACTGCCTGGTATTCAAAGAGCATTACAAATTCCTGGACTTGAAATAGCTTTTTCCCCTCCCCCACCCCCCATCATATTTGTTTGATACTGAGCATCTCTGTTCTACAGTAGTATAACGGATACCTGCCATTACACGCGTTTCACAGAGGTTGCAGGCTGCGCTATGGCCATACTGCAGCAACTTCGGTCAAGTCAAGGAAGGGCAACACAGTCTCCAGAGAAAAACACATCCATAGCAGGAGTCTGCCCGCTCTCCCAGATCATGGGAAGCAGCCAGTCAGACAGAACACAGCAGCCTCCCTGAAAGCTTTTCTTTTCCTGACTCAGTGACAACCACAATTAGCTTTGTCCTAGGTATCTGGCTGGTTAATCCTATTAATACACCTTATTCAGATTAAAAACTATACAGCTGCAAAGAGATTAAAATATAATGTGAAAGAAAGCTTATTGCTCTAAGAATATAATCTTTAAAAGGGTTCCATACTAATTTTGCATTGTTATCACTTCCACTACCATCCTGTCTGCTAGATTATCAGAGGAGACAGGCATGTCCTTGTCTTTCAGTAAATAGACCAGCAAATATTTAATTAAAAAGTGCACCCTTGCAGAGTTCCATAACCTCATCACATGCATTCCCTTAGGATTCCCATTATTAGTGATAATGGGAATATAACAGACTTGAAAGATAAATACAGACAATAATCAAGAAGTTTGAAATCAGCATACTCTGAGGTTCCAGGAAGGAACAGACTTGTAATTGTCCAACACAAGAAAGTTATTCTTTCACTGAATGAACTAAAGGACAACGCAAGTTAAATAAATGACTTTTTCCTTCACTATTAGTTAAAACCAGTTAAGATACACCACAACCTGCAGCACGTAACCTGCTTTTTCTCATAGCTCCTGGCAGTGTTCAGCACTAGTTGGCATAACCAGCACCCCAGACCTGCTTCTCCCCTCTTCTGAGCTAGACACAGCACATGTAGTTACGAGAAGACTTACCTACCTGGGTGTACTCACTTTTTAACTGTGCAAATACCCTCAGTAGCACCACTACTCCACTCGGCATGCAAGAATGAGAGCGAACATCCATCCTAGGTGCCACACATGGTCAGGACTCCAAGAGCAAACTACAGCTCATCAACATCAAGCATCACACTAGCACACCCTAGTTATCCAGCTATAAAAGTAACAGGCAGTACTAGGTAGTGCTAGTATTTTCTCAAAAGTAAGTAGTGCTACAAATGAATTTTCTACTGCATGCTGTCTTTTAAAGCAACTGCTTGAGTTTTTTTTTTTCTTCTTCTTTTTAAAGCTGGGTTCAGTACTGTATATGGCCTGGTACTAAACACATTAACAGACTCCACTGCCTCCCCACCACCCCTACTCCCAAAAAGCAGCAATGAAGAGTGTCAGAATATATCCAAAGTGGCAAAACATCCAGTGATGGATCCAGGGCACTGAGCCAATACAAGTCAGCTGTGTAGCTGCTGTGGCAGATAGGGAAAGGTGGGGTCATTTTCTCCCACTCTTGAGCAGAGTGGCAGAGTTTTAGTAACATAGTATTGCCTCAAATTACAACCCTAGGCTTTCCTTGGGAAATAGTATGCACAAGACTAAAGGACTGTATCAGGGTAGTACTTCACATTAAAGCAGATGGGATCTGTTTAGTAGGCAAGATAAGCAGATTATACACCGAAACACTGCTTGCATATATCAATATCCAAGAAATCCCAGCCAATGCTATTACAGCTAAATATACCAGAAGGTCTGCAAAAGCAGTGTCCTCGGCAAACAAGAGCTAGCTGCAGCTGTGTATCGAGCAGAACAAAGCTACATTACAGTTCAGTGTACTATACAGAAATCATTTGCCTTTTATATTTTCAGGTAATTTCTGAATTGCAATTACAACATAAACAAATAGCAACACTTATAGCAAATCAAACTGAAATACATACTGTGTTCAAACTTCAGGTTGGTTTAATGGCAAACTTGTCTTCAAGTACAATGGACATTTCTGCTGTGACCGCTGCATAATTTATAAAGGGATTTTTCAACTGACTTGCAAGTTAACATAAAACATCTCTCCTTTAGACTGCACAATATAATCCTGTTAAATTATCTTAGGCAACTGTAGTGGTATTTTATAGTCAAAAACTTTTGCAGTCTAATGTGTCTTGTAGGATCTAGAGAAGACTAACTGGTAGACTTAAGTGTATGACTTCCTGAAGGACAGGGATGGCTAATAACGAGATTTCAAACACCAAGTTTCCTACAATCATTACTCCCTTTCCTACTTCCCCATTTAATTCCAGTATTTCTTAGACCATATCTTCAAAACATAAGCCACTACTTAGGCTGGCCCGTAAATCTTCTGACAAGTCATCAGTAGTTGAGTTAAAACTGAAAAGCTCATTCCATGATGAGCTGTCCCCCCTTTTGAGTAAAAGGGGCATCAAGTTTTATGAAGTCTTTGCCTTAGGGAACCAAAAAGCTAAGAATTTCTACCACTTGGCACTTCTGTGAGATACACTTGCAACCAAGAGATAGAAATTCTACCTCCAAGTGTTAAAAATAATCCCCCTTTGACTACAGGATCTAGAACTTGATATATCATTTCAAAAAGCTGACATGCCTTCTCCCTCCCCCTCACCCAATTTTAAGGTTGGGGAGATTAACTTAAAGTGAGAAAGCAAGAAAAGGACCTAAAAGAAATTAAGAGGCTCCAACAACAGAACAAGGAAATCCACTGAATGGTTTCAGCAAAATTGTTAGTGCAGTTGGAGTGCATACTTTCAGTAGCGTGCTTCATCTTTACTTTGTGGATATATTTGAAGTACAATGAAAGAGAGCACTGAGGTTTCTGAAAAACATGTAGCCCTTCTGTTAGGAGTTTGCACTATACAGAGCTAGTTGAAATTGACTCTTCAATAAACCCCACTAAAGAAAAAAAAGCCAGAGGTTCTGCGACAACCAGCGGAGCTGTACTAACGCATGCTGCAATGGGATCACTACATGCACGCTAGCTAAAAGACTACCTCTTCTGTGTACATCTATATCTATGGCAGGTTTGCTATTTTTAGTTTTAGAACTGGTAAACTAAGATCATACTCTAAGAAACACTACAAACTGCACTACAAAACTGCATTTCAACCTTCCAGTAACTTATCCAACCTTAACACAGGTTTATTAAACCTAATTTACTTAAATTATTCATGACTTAATGCTCTACTAACTTAAAATTGAAGGAATGGGCTAGAGAAAAGCAGGCTTCTCAAATCATGTATACATCTACTTTATAGCTACCTCTTCTGCCTAACCCCTCCCAAAGTTAGCCTGAAAAAAGTAAAATCTACACAAAGTTTTATTGCAATCATACAAGGGGTACATCAAGGGTCAAATACAACAAATACTATGATGCAATTTTACATTTATTAAACTACAGTTCAAAGCACAAATTTACACATTCTAAATACACTAAACATCTAATGAAGTCACACTGGTTTCCCACTGACATTTGATATATCTGGGCAGAAGACAATAACTTTACAAGACTTTTCTAACAGGAATCCTTAGTATAAAAACTGTGTACTTGTATGTAAACTGTTGAAGAACCCAAGTGATGGGTTTCCATCTCCACTAAGTCATCCATTTTGTTGCATATTTAAACGCTCAGGGGTTGAACAAACTGTTAAGTTTAAATTTGGATGCCATTATCTAACCCTCCCACACGCCCCAGTGAATTGTAGCTGTAGCTGGTTTTGCCTGGTCCCAATTAGCTATTACTATTTTTTCAAGTTTTGAAGAGAATGAATTGAATTCAAGATTGTTCCATTTCTTCCACACTGGAATGTTGACCAGACAAACTACAGACTTGCAATTGCAGGTCTAAATGAAGCGTTAATGCCTGTTTAAGCTGCAGTGGAAAAGCGGTCTTCTGAGCTCAGCTGAATGCAAGAAGGCACAAAGAAGAAATTCTTCATCAATGTGTCTGAAGTAATTCCAGCATCTTGCATCTCATCCCTGCAACAGAAAGTGTAACAGCTATAATCAAGAAGAAAAAGTCCTCACATACCATTTAACATCAGAAATCAGCATTAAATTTGGCGTTTGAAGTCTACTGCCCCCCATGATGGCGGCCTTAGTCTCAGCAGCAAGGGAGAAGATCAACTATGCCCATACTTGACCAACACAGAAAGGCTGTGACTCTCCATCGAGGGAGGCTGAGGGCCTCTGCTACTTAGGTTTTAGAACAGGTTACTCAACTGTCACCAGCATTGCAACAGTGTTACTAACTTTCCTGCCTGCAACTATGATGCCAAAATTGTATGCAAGTTGCAATTACTAGTATTAGAAAACGTCAACGTTAAGCAGTAAAAGGGTTCAGCTCAGGAACAAGTACCACTAAATCCACAGTTCACATTAGGAACTTCACTTTTCTGTCAGTCCTAAAATAGGCAGTCTATGACAATTCTCAGTTTTATCTTGGTGAAGCTGGACAGCATAGTAAAAAAACCAACCAAAACAAAAAGCTCTTCCGGCCAGCATTCATTTTAAAATGAAATACTTGCATCTTCTTGTATTTGTTATTATAAGTGCTGTGTGTGCACTCTTGAAGGGGGTAAAAACAGTCTTGTCACCATTAAGTCAATTTTCTTACCAGTCACCGAAAGATATCATGTAGTAAATCAGTGGCCTCTGATAGTCGTTAAAGGTAGACTGTTCACCTAAGGTACCAGAACCCATATTATCGAAGATCAGCCAATCTCCAACACTCAGCTCAGGAAGAAGACAGTTTTCCACAATTTGATCAAGCTCATCACAGGATGGACCCCAAAGGCTGCTTGCGAACAGAGGCTCATCTTCCTTGTATTTCTATATGGAAGTGATCCAAATAATTCAGATATTCATTTATTAAAAGTTTCAAATATACACAGGGATAATTGTTTAGCCTCTCTGAAAAACACAAAAGGACTCACCTTGTGAACCTCCGGAGTAGTATTCAGTTTCTCAGACAATTTGCTTGCAAAAGAACCATAAACACCATCATTTATGTAATATGTAAATACTGGTTCATCATTCCTGGTTTGCTCCACTGGAAGGAAAAAGAAAGGTATCTTGCATGTGTGTGTGGTTGCTTGGTTGGTTGGTTTTTTTTTTTTTTTTAAAGTTAGACTGCAAAAGAAATGCTTATTTCACTTAAGTCAACAGCTTCTTCCTAAAAAGGAGGAGCCATATATACTGTAACTACGAACAGAGTAATCAGTACGAGCCAGATTATCAATTTAGCTGCATCATGAAATGCAAAGGCTTAATAAATTAACATTTTTCAGTAACATTGTTAAGAATGTAAATCCAGTGTCTATTTTAGCAGACAGACTAGCCCTCTTACGTTGTTCCTCTAATTAAACTTTCTGTAGACCACACAACATAGGGTTACTATGTTGGCAATGTAAGTCACTGAGAAGTCAAACAGTATTACTAAGGAAACAGGAAATGCTAAAAACAATTGTAACAAGGAGAAAATAAGATACAAATAATGCATGGTCAAAATCCAAAAGATGGATTACAACTCAGGCACAGGGCATGTATTAAACATATAAAGGCAAACTAGTCCATTCCGACCTGCACCAATTCATACCATGCAAAAGGTACATACATTGCTTACCTCCAGAAGGAAGAAGTTTATCATACTCAACAGTTTTCTTTGCAATGATGTTAACTGCTAGTGTAAATGCAGACGAAACATAGTAACATCCGGGCTCTGCAATCACATTAACACCAGATTCCTTAGGAAAGTAGACATCCAGCAGCGGCCTGATGACACGATTAACCTACAAAATTGAAATCAGATTAGACTTATAAGACTCATCTCATTAAAATATGCATTTACTGAAATAGACATTTGGCTGACAGTTTGTCCATCACAAGTTTCCAGTCAGCAATACACAGTTCTAGTAAAGCATGCCACAAGCTTATTCTACTCCTCTGTTCTTTGACAAGTGCCCTTACCAGAGGTCCAAAATTTAAGTGGTTGGAAGTAGAACATTCAGTTAAGCACTGAAGACCGAGTACCATGAATCTGAATATGATGCAGTCCCTGTTTCCATCCAAAGTTCAACTTGGGGCACACTCAAGATTAGGCAAGTAATTTCAAAGTTTTTCTAGCACAGTATACAATGTAAAATTATGTACGAAACCAACACAAGACCAATGAAAGGGCTTGTTATGCGATCAGTTCTGAATACTTTCACATTGGAAGCAGTTTGAATTATTTAATACTGATTATAGCTGAATTTCTCAAATCTTAAGCCGCATACTTGCCTCAAGGTTAACAAGTAGGTTAACTAAGTAACAGTTAGAACAAGCTAACAAAAAACTGTTTTTTGTTATTATTAACTTTGTTGAATCAGTTGACTGCCCTACCTTCAGGGAGTTTGTCCTAAAGACAACATAAAACAGAATAACCCATTTAAACTATTAGGAAATACTGCATACCGAAGATCCAGTTTATGCCAAACCAATCCCAAAAGTTTTATTTAAGGATGACCAAAGCAGAGATAAGGTCAAAGCTTTTTGTCTTCAGTAATAACGCAAAGTACCAAGAATTGCAGTATAGTAACAATATGGTTTATGAACAAAAGCATGCTAATCAATCATGGCCCAAACCATGCAGCAGAGCATATAACAGTCAAGTGTAAAAAATTATTAGCTTAAGCCACCTTAACTTAATTTAGCCGGTGACAATAACTTATGAACAGGATTAAAAAGAAATAACAATCACCTTCAAGAATTCATCGCAATACCCACGACAGAGAATATACAACCAATCATTTAGATCTTACGGATTTGCAGTCTATTGTTGTGGAATTAAAAATGGGTTTTATCTATCAATATTAGTTGGAACTGAAAGGTTAAGCATTCAACTTCACAAATAGTGTTTCAACAAACCTCTTCCAGCTGCAGTTCAGAACCCGTGAAGCCCCCACCAATATCCAACATGTTCATCTTAAAGCCAAATTCTTCCTAAAACAAACAGGAAGAATTTAAGTACACAAGTGCAACTGTAACAATATTTTTGTTGTTCCTTACTACGGTCATTTTCTATATACTTACACTTCTGTGTATATTTAACACAGGACAGTCTAGTGAAGGAGTTACATCACAATAAAAATTTGTATTCCTGCACTAAACCTAGAAGTAATAGTATTGGGATATCAGCGGCTGGTTACACAAATCTCTAGTAAGAGTCCTACTGCAGTCTCAACTCCCATCTCGTGCCATTTGTTATATTCGGGCAATATTTGCTAACCAGGGTGGTGCATTGCACCAAAGAGTTTTTGGAATTTACAAATATGTATACAGGAGGTCTTTTAGACAGCACTTAGGTAACAAAGACTGCTAGAATACATTTGCACATTCGCAAAGATGAGTGTGAGAACCTTAGTTATGTTGCTCGTCATGTATGACCAGTCATAGTTAATGCATGAACTGCCATAATGAGAGTAAAGAGATTACTTGAATTCTTCTGTATTTGGTTTACAAGCTTCTCATTTTATATGACAAGATGTTTTCAAATAAAATATTTTTTGTGATAGGGCAAATACATATAGAACATGCAATACATATTTAGATAAGTCATCTGAAGTACCCCTAAAACAATTCCACTTTACCCAAATTCTAATTCCCAAGTGTGAAATCTTTACAACCTAAGCATTGTAAGAAATAAGTCACATGCTTCAAGTTAATATTTCTTTCAACATAAATGCCAAGACAAATACTTAACATTTTAGTGTAACTTAAGAAAAGCTGTATATTTATAGGATTGAAACTTGAATTCAAAAAGCTTTTAGCAAAAGTGGAAGACTAAATTTTCATTTGAAAGTCAATACTAAGTAGTAGCTGTTAAAGTGTTTCGTTTTATTCTTCATTGGAAGTAGGTCATCTTGGCAAATATCGTTGCCTTGCATTCGATAACAACAATACTTTTTCCCTATGGTGCCTATAAAAGTTTACTGATTTATAACTGCTTGCATACTAGGCTACTGCCTGTCAGTGGGACAGTATTCAGTAACTTCTGCCAATTTCTTTGTATTTGTTTTTCCAGAATTCCAGAACTAGGATTATAAACTTTGTTCTACCTCTGCCACATCTCACAAGGCATATTTGGCTAATTACTGAAAGTTACATTTCCTACACTAATACAATATATTTTAGAAATAATGTACTTGGCTTGTTGGTATGATGAGAATAGAACAGATCCTCTGCTGAAGCACTTGCACATATATATTTATCTACTTACAGCCATGTCAAACACACACCGAGCATCAGATATAGCATGAATGTACGTTTGCAGTTCCTTGCAATTGCTTGAAACATGAAATCTGAAAGAAATAAAGATGCAGTTAATATACAGAACCTCACAGCCTTCAGAGCAAGCAAACTGCTTCTTTATCCACAATAGTAAGGAAAGTAGTTTATTCCCAAGTGGCAAAAGATGAGTTTGCATGATATACACTAATCATATAAAGAACGCTGCTCAAATGATGATTGCCTTCTACTCCACTGTATCTCTGTGCATGGGGCCTGTCTTGCTTTGAATGCTAAGAGTGGCCTGCAATATCCTAATCTTTAATAATGACAAGTTTACCGAACCTTTCAGTCTTCAATATCAAAGCAGTTAAGTTTTCTTTTACATGTGCCAAAGCTAATAGTACTCGTATAAAGTCACCCCTGTTTTACCCTATCTTCTTTGCATTGCTTTGCCTGCATGTCCCCTCCCCTGGGCCACCCAGCTCTTGCCAAAGCTAGAGCTGTACTGTATATCCTTCTGCAGCCTCTTCACCAATCAAGCCAGGTCCTGGTTTCACAGCAAGAAGCAGGCTAGCAAAGCAGTGTTGCCTCCCAGTCTCCTGAATCCTCTCTAGCTCCTTGCCCAAAAGGTTAAATATTGCCACACTACTCGCAGTAGCTGAGGTACTAAAATAAGTATCGACGTTCCCGTTGACTCTCTCGAGATTAGCACGGTCTGCTCGTTTTGGATGCCCCATACACATACCTAAACTGAGCCACTAAACTGTCTAATCCATGTTCATTCACTTTAAGGAATACCACTGAGGCAAAGGTTAAAAGTTTAAAAAGTCAATGCAACTCATTTGAATGAACCCAAGTTTGAAATCTATTTAAAATGTAAAAAAAGCAATGTGTTCTTGGTTAAAATTAGTTCAGATATCCTGGATATAAAAGAAATACTTTTTCTTAGTAATGTCATCACTTTTTAGTCTGTTTTTCTGACAGAGGACCCACCCTTGTTTTACTTGTTTGATTGCTTTCTTAAAGGATTCATAAGCACGTCATGTATTAGTAGTTAAAGGCAAAGAGAACCAAGACTCATGCATGCATTTTTGCTCCATACAATAAAACCCTTTGGTACATCAAACTTCAAATTAAAATACCACAGACTATCTGGAAGCTCTCAGAGCACTGCGATTAATTTCTGCCACCTGCAAGCCAAAAACCTGAGTACTGCCTCTAAACAAAATCAATGAGAGACACAAGACTTCATTCTGAGAAAACTGAACCCCAGGTTTGCCTAGATCAACATCTGTCCAAGCTATCCTACACTAGCATCTCATTTGCTCATCTGTTTACTGCTGAAAAACTACAAGCCAAATTACCAGAGAAGTCCAAAAGCATAGCTAGAAAATAGCTATGCTTAACTTTTCTTTTACCATGTCAGAAAGATTTTTGATGCTTTTTTGAATTGCTTTAATGACAGTAAAATTACTTTGTTTCATACTACTTTCTCCTTGCCTACTAGTTGTTTTGCTTGCAAACAAAAACTGACATGATCAAAAAAATATTTTCTTAACCTGTTAAAGAAACCAAATAAACAAACAAAACACCATGCTGTAGTTCCAAGTCTTGAGCATATCATAAACACATCTCAGTAGTCAGGAGAGAACAATAAAGTTACTCACTTAACCCCAACTATTTGGATTCCAAACTCCTTAGCACATTCCATGAGGTGCCTACAGTTCTTCAGGGTGGTACCAAACTTCATATTCATCTCCTCATCAGCACTAATGTCTTCTGTGGCAATGTGCAGTAAGAGCCTAAGAGAAGGGGAAGATGATTGGGGCAGTTGGTTTACATCATCAGCACATGTGAAGCCTGAAGACTGTCAGAAGCATGTTGATTATGTTGTCAGTACTCCAGCTCCATCGATGGACGAGTCAAGTGAACCTAATAAAAACAATCCTGTACAGAGAAAAAACTAGCAATTAGGGGCTAAAACATGGAGCCAACAAGGATAAGGGATTTCGAAATGCAGCAACTAAGACTCTTTTGTAGCAGCAAGAGTCTGTTGAGTGCTGTAATAAAAGAGAATGTTACCTTCTAATAATGTATACTTTCTCATAAAACCATAAATGACTGTCAACATGCTTTCCCATCTCTGTCCTCCTTTTTAACCAAAACAAAGAGAACACAGAGATTCCCCTTCAATCAGTCATGTACCAGATTTGGTTAAATGCATCTGGAGAATAGCAGTTTGACACAAAGTGCACCCTGGCCACATCCCTCTACCTCCGCCCTCAGCTAGTCACAGGGACAGGTAGGGTCCATTCATTTTCTCTCCTTCCTTCAGGACGCTCGGGGAAAGGAAATGTAGTGAATACCATCTTCTACACAGTTTTATCATGCAGTGAGATAACTTCCTCCCTCAGATCAAAGCCTAATTCTGTGCAGGTTTGGCAAACTGGACTGTCAGTTGTTGACAGTTTTACACTAAAGTAACACTTGCGTTTGGCAAAGACAAGCTCAAAAACCTCTAGGTGCATTCCCCCCCTCTGTCCTAAAAAATAAAAAAAATAAAAAAAAATTAACAGTTATAAACTGCTGTCTCCTAAAAAAAACCACCACACACACACTAGTTTCCCTTCTCTCCCAACCACAAGAAAGATCATTTAATTAGCCACGCTGGTTCACTAAGCTGTTATCATGATATACAAATAGACTATGTAGAGGACATTGCAGGTAACCGAGATGGAGAGCATGAACAAGTAGCAAAAGCTCTGCACCTGGAAATGAAGACATTCTTTGAGATATGCAACAAACAGCTTAGCCAGTACAACATATGATGGCCTAACAGCTACCATGACTTTCAAGAGTCCCTTCTGAACATCTCGATGTCTTCAAAATGATATTTCGTAAAGAGCAACGATCCTAAGTTCTCACACATGTTGCCTGGCAATCCTTGACAATTTTAATTTATACCACTTGGGAAACTCAGACTGGTCTCATCTCCTGGCTTTCTACTAGTACAGACACCCCTTAAAGTTTGCAGTCAAGCAGTATTTTGTAAAACATTTGGAAAAAATACTAGATAAACACACAAGTCTTAAAAATTAAATTCTCTAAAGTGTTTTAAAAAATTCAAAACCACAGTACTTTAAATCTCAGATTAGACAATAATATTTTAAGATGACATCCTATTTTAAATTTTATTGATGCGTTTTCATAACAGTGTTATAAATTAATCAAGAGATTTATTTAGGGGAAACCACTGTACAAGAAGTGTTATTCTGACTTCTGGAAATCTAGTATGATTCTTCTTGGTCTCTTGCAGTTAGAGCAGGAATACAGGACCACGTACATGTTTGAGATCTGGGGCATTTTTTGTTAGTTTAAAAAAAAAGCACTGATCTTTATAAGCAGCCACTCTACCACTTTCAGGACACCCCAAGCATAATTGTTACCTTTGGATTTTTCTAGGCAAATCATACGAAAGGAAGTAAAGCTGTAAGTACCCCTTTCTTCACATATCTCCCCTTTCTCTAAGAAGTTTAGGGGCACGCAAGTTATTAAAACTTCCTAAGATATAAGAAAATTAGGAGACAGAACGACAGCTTCCTAAGCAGGACTTCCTCTGCTGAAGCACAATTGGCCTCACTCAAAGACAACCTAGCTGTAACTACCACAGGTAGTAAGAACAAGGCTATATGTACATAAAGGCTTTGACTTTTTGAAAGTATGCCAAAGGGAAGAGAGAAGAAGAAACACTAGAGCTGTTACTTCAGTATCAAAGTTTTAGTGACTTGAATGAGAATGTAATAGTCAAAAAAAAAAACCCTAAAGCAGACAAACTTTATAGAATTGAAACCTGATCTCCAGTTCTCCTAGAAAATTTAGATGTCAAAGAGCGATTCCTTTACAAAAGTAATTTCTTATCCTTTGTAATTAGGAATTTTCAAGCATTAAACCGATCCTTTAAAAAGCAGCTTTGTTTCCTCCCCCCCCCAGCTTATGCAATTCCTGCATTCTGTCTCCTTGCTTTAAAGTTTTCCTGGTTGAAGAAAATTCTGCATCCTAACTTCTCTTGCTCTGGATGTTAAGATAGAGAACACCTTTTAAAAGAGGCTATTACATTCAAGAAAACATATCAGCACAAAAACTAGTTTTCAGAAGTCATCTTCCTCTTTACTGACAGAAAGAGACCGAAATAGAAAAGGGCATATTGTCTTTTGCCTTGTTTACTCTTGTTCCTTCTGCTGTCAGACAGATCCTTCAGACTGCCCACAGCCTAGTTATCTTCAGGCAAGTGGCTATACGGGTAATTCAGATGGCGCTTTGCCACTCTTATCACCCATATTAAAGGGCCACTCCACAAACTACTGGCTCTTGTTCATGTCCTCCCGAATCAAGAGGATTTTCTAGAGCTCCTCATCCCTATTGTAGGAAATAATTCAGTCAAGAAAGTCTGAAACTGGGAAAATAGTCTCTACTTGGCAGCCATGAATATCTAAGGTTGCACAGCCTGGAAAACTAAGTCTTTACTCACAAGAGCCAAAAGATATTTGAAATCTAAAACAGGCATCTGAACAGTCTTTACTCCAGGCAAAGGTCATCCCAACAAGCAAACAATGGATGGAGCAGAGCACAGAAAGAGGCAGCCTTCACAGTTACGCTGCTCGCTTGTCTGATCAGAAGACTTATACAAGCAAACCGCTGCTTAAGAGGAGAAGTCCCACAACTAGGTCCACATACTGCTGTCTAGTGTTAAGTATGCTTCACTCTGTCAACAGCTTAGCCAAAGTCAGCTAGCACCTGTGTAATTTTAATCGCCCGTGTCTGTTCTGACAACGTAATTAATTAGCTAGTTACATCACTAGCGATGTAAAAGACAATTTTAGTTTGGCTAAGGCATTCCAATGCACAAGTATGTCAAGGCCACCATTATACCCACAATATTATTTATCATAGATTACTTTCTTTGCACAGGAAGTACTCTAGTGTGCAAAGCACTGACAGGGTTCGAGGAGGATGAAGCATAATCATTTGTAACAGCAATTTTGTGAAATTCTGAAGTAGGCTTAAATAATGAGGTGGGATTAGCAGTCTCCCCAAATACTCAATGTCGTAGAATCTTCCCAGTTCTGTAACTGCTCACAAAGCTGTGACTGAAGACACGATGCTTTGATGAGGACCGTCTAACACCAAGGGCTTTGGTAAGGATGTCAGGCAACTCATTTCTCAGGGCACCCTGACAAAGTTTGCATGGAAGCTATGCCTCAGTAGTCACCAGCAAGCACTTAATATTCACTGCAGGCAATGGCTTAAAGATTTGGCCCACAAAGCCTTCATTAAGCATCACCTTCCTCATTTATGAAGTAAGCACCTATCAATCTAAAAGAAACCACCATCCTGTACAGATACAATTGGCAGCAACAGAATTCTCATATTTAACAGCTAAAACATCAGCTTTAGTTATTTCTCTACAGAAAGCATCTGGGCCAAGACTGAACTGACTCAAAGAAGAACTTGACTCTAAGTTCCTCACTGTTTTCTAAGTGGGAAAATCTCTGTAGGCACATCTCAAACCAGCACAGCATGTTCAAGCCCTGCATGGGACCCAGTGCATGTGCTCATTTGCTGATAATTTCTCTGTCCAGACTTTGGCTGAAGCCACTAAAATCAAAGAAGAATATCCCGAAAGAAAAAACTGAAGTCACAAAAAGCAGAATGAAGATGTACTTGGAGATGACAAGGTGCCACAATTCTGAAGTCTGGCCACCAAAACCTTTAAATCTATGTATCAAGAGTACCCTACCAAGCCAAAATACAAGATTTCCCTCCAAAAAGAGGGCTCAATATCAAAAGGGGAAGGTGAGACTCAGACCGGAAAAATCTTGCACAAAAAACTACCTTCAAAAGAAGCAAGATAATACCAATTCACTTGTATCTATTTTTTCTTAAAGAAGTCATGTCTCTTGCAACTCAAACAACCCAAGATTACAGCCAAATTCTTATCATGTTAAAAGCAAAAAAACAAAATTGACACTTACTTAGCATTTGGATGGCTACGTGCAATTTTCTTCAGCTCAGTATCGTTGTCGCAGGTCATGATGTTTATTCCAATTTTTGCTGCATACTTTATCTGAGAAGCTTGCTTGCAAGGATTTGTATATATAATGTTTTCAGGAGAAATGCCCAGGTCTTGTACCAATGCCATTTCAGACTGAAAAAATAAGACCACAGCAGCGTTTCAGACGCACTCAAGGGCACTATCTCTACTGAATTTGCATTAAATATAGTCTAGTACTATACAAAATAGTCCATATAAGCTCTAGAGAAAACTATTTGCTGCTTCCGGGATAGAAGCATGAATTCGTAATAGCCAGTTACTTAATAATTTACAATTTAAATTATATTAAATAGTAACATGGCACTTGATATCAAAAAGCTGATGGACAGATGAAAGATAGAAGAGAAAAGGCAGAGATGTACACAAAAAGAACACTTACTTTATTGGAACATGCAAATCCAATTCCAAGAGTTCCCAAAATTTCAAGTACACCTGGAGTAGAATTACATTTTACAGGGTAAAATGGTTTTATTGGTGCCATCACATTCTGCCATTGCATGTTTTTCTTTACAAGCTTTCCAAGATCACCAACATAAAATGCTCTTTTTCCGGTCTAAAAAACAAAATTAGGAAAATAAAATGTCTGAAATTGTGGGCTTGTTGTCAAAACAGAAACAACCTATGAAGCGAAATCATAAAGGATTATGTATTTTCTGTCCTGCTATTAACTTTTAGGTTTGACCTCAATCAATTCACTTGGGTTTTATTTTTAGCTAGCAATTTGAACTAGCTTTACATCAAAGAATACCTACCACTTAAAGATATTTTGAATATTATTTAGGCAATATTCTGAGATTCCAGGGAAAAAAGATTTTAAATGCCAAATATCAATTTTATCTGAAAATACAGAAAAGTAACAAGTATCTTCCAACTTTCTATTTTTAGAAGTCTGCAATTCTTTGGAGGAAAAAAATGCACTGGGATGAAAGTTTCCAGTCTCAACATAATCTGTAGTTTATCATACAAGAAAAAATAATCTAATGCACTACCAGTTATTTCAGCACCTAGGTAATAGCTTAGTGACTTTCTACTGAAAGTTTTAACTGATGAAGTCAACACACTGAGACTGTTCTCCACGTTTTATGACGCACAAAGGTTAAACAGAATTTAAAGAACTAAACTCAAAGCACTAAGGTTGCAGAGTCAAGTACATTATCTTTAAGAAAATGCACAGACAATTTTACAGGAACTGCAACAGTTCCCATTGCGCATTTGTTACCATAGTCTTGCTCAATATCAAGTCATGTTGTAGATGTGGTAGACCAAGAGCCAAACAGATCGTTCTGTATTTGTTCATAACGTGCACTCAGTATAATTCCTGTAAGTGAATAGCCTACTGTACACCAATTAAAGTCCATCACAGAATATACGATCAATCTGAATTAAGACTGTATAGCAAATGTTAATACTAGCACTTGACTTTCGCAGATATGAAATTTTCTGTTGTGGCTTATAGTACACAATGTCTTTATTTCTGTTTAAAAAACACAAATAGAAATTCCATCGGGTGGAAGCAGACTGACCCCCGGTACGGGTCACCGGCAGGAATGGGATCTGGAGCTTTAGATCCATGGCACAGGCCTCTACCCCTTGAGCTAAAGGAGTAAATGAAAGCAGCAGGAGGCAGCTATCCTCTGTGAGCCAGCCAGTGGTTGGAGACATGACATGTTGCCAGTAGTTTACCTATTTATTTGCTAGACAGAAAAAGAATATTAGGAATCAGGATTTGGGAATCCTATACCTGACTGCAGAAGGCCATGGGATTTAGCTATTTGCTGTACTACAGCTGAGCACTTCATCTAACACTAGTTCTGATAAACCATAGGATAAAGTGAACATCTCTAGGTATGGCATATTAAGGATACAAGATTTGCTTAACAAAATTTTTTGTAAAGCTCTCCCTCTCTGTAACTTTGTCCATAAAACAAGGGCTACAACATCTTCCAGCCTCCTAAGAAAGCAGTGAGGCCTTATTCAATAAAACTGTTTGTATACACAGAATTCTTCAAGTTATTTTTTTTCCAGAGGATGGCTAAACCTCACTAGCTCTTAGATCAGTTTACTTTCTTGAAAGAAAGGAGTAGTACCTCCCATTGTCTTGTTCCTCCTACTTGTATTTCTAACATGGAAAAGGCTTATGGGAAGACTTACAACCATATGAGCATGACTAAAGCCATGTTTAAAATCTGTGGTCAAAGTGGCCAAGCACATGAATTTGTCTAAACTTTGGCACGTTTTCAGGGAAAGAAGAAAACAAAAAGTGTTTCTAACTCAGCACTATCAACTTGCCAAATTTCAAATTCCTGCTCTAACACCCTTTGACAATAAAAGCTCTTCAAGGAATGAGATGGGAACCTGTATTCAATATATTAGCAAGACCATTTTCCTCCTAGCCGTGCTCAGGGAGGTAACAATTGTTGCCCAAGTTTCCCCAACAGAATTCAGCCTGAGACAAATAGGAACAACAGCAAAGAATTAGAACAGGAATCTCGTTTTAATGAGAGTTTTAGCTGATTGTTCCTCTGTTGCTGTCAGCTCATTAGTACTAAATACCTTGACCCAGTTTGAGAACTTAAGAAAACTAACCAACAGATTTGGAAATTTTAAAGACTTACATGAGTATGTTCATAAATACAGTTGTCAATAACATCTGCAAGAGTTGCTCCTTCATCCAACAGGCCAATGGAGTAATTTGCATCCTCCAGAAATCCTTTCATCTCAGCCGTATTCCACAAAGCCGACAGTCATAAACCAAGAAACACAAGGGATGGGCTTCCAAGCCTTATATCCGGGTCCTTAAATTATGCAACAAACTGTACAAAGAAAACATAAATCAATGTGAAAAAAGCGCAAGGCATTCTACAGGACTATTTAAAGATTAGGAAGAGCTTTCTGCATTTGATGTACCACAAACAGATAGAAACAAATGGACAGAATAAAAAAATGTATTTCTTCTATTTGCCCATGATAACAATACTGCAATTTCACTGAATCCAAGAATAAGACAGAAAGTATGCACTTTAAATCTGATACTAAACTTAAAGATGAGTCTGGAAACCACTAATGCAAGACTGTTCTTGGGAAGAATCACAGACTGAACACACATGGAATTGTGTAAAGCTTACGCACACTATTAAAAATACTGCAGATGTAGAATACTTGTACAAACACTTAATCTCAGCCATTTCAAAGTGCAACATCTTAAGTGACATTAGTATTCAAGTACACCACTGGAAGACTGTCTGTAATAAAACATTCCTGAATTCATGAAAGAAAACAGTTCATTAAATGCCAGCATTGATATTTGTCAAATTGACACGTTTTTGTTGACACGCTACTTTTGTTTAGATGCTACTTCTCTAAAACTATTGCTTGTAAACATTAAATCCACTAAATAGTTATTTTGTTGTTCTGTTCATAAAATTACCTACCTTTAAATCTCCACTTAGAAGTGAACAGAACAGAGAAGGCAATAGCCAAAAGTAATTTTTAAAGTGACAGTTAAACTCAGTAAATGCAACTGGTATAAAGAAACCTAACAGTTACAGCCTAACTTCAACTGCATCATATCGTCAACCTTTACTGTCAATTTGATTTTGTTCTACAAAAATAAAGCTTGAATCAACAAGGTCCAAAGATAGAAGACATAGCAATATATACACCCAGTCTTAGAACATGGATGAAATAAAGTCAGTTTCAAGTAAAAATCAGTACACAAGAGAACTACCAACAGCTGATTATGTAACTTTATCAGTCTTGCTTGAGGACTAGAATAATTTTCAGTTCACATTCCCTTAGAGCTGTCTTTCTTGAAAGCAATTTATTACTTTGTAATAATTGACAGATCAGACCACTTTACTTTTTTTAAACTTACATCTTTACGACAAGTGCAAGACTAATCAAAGCTAGCCAGCCAGCTAGTCTCCTTATGTGGATACCCTAGCCATTTTTCGAAGTCTTTGGACAGGAGTTGCACAGCAGCTACTAAAAGACTGGGCAATTTTTAAAGACTCTTGGTATTTGGCTTTAAAATAATAAAATTTTTCTGGTTAAAAATGTTGATAGGACTCGAATGTTTCAGTTGAGTTCAGCTTCACCAAGAAACTCTAGAAGTTAAGACGATAATTTTAGTTTCAAGTGATCACAGATACTAGCTTTGTCTCATTTCGTCCTCCACCTCCCAACCTGTCAAAGACCAGTTTGCAACATAACTTCGGTCAACGCTGTTGATATGAAAAAATTTACTTTCACTTAAGCTCCTATTGACAAAGACAACTGTGGAGCAGTTTTATTACTTTCTTGTCATTTTAACTGGTAATGGACAAATAGCCAGCACAGCTTTGTATGCTCTCTGCTTAAATCATTGAGTACGCCACCTATGTTTTCCTCAAAAGTAGTATTTACTGACAGGTGACCAACTCAGAAGCAGCAGTATTTTCAGTTGCATTCAGAAAGTCAATGCTAAAGACAAGCATTCTTCTTATCCAGCAGACTTGTATCAGACACAGAGTCATATGCTTATTTAAATTAACCCAAAGATCCAAAACAATTATGAAAGAATAAGATAAATCCTGACACCAATATGACAGTTAAGTAAATTCTGATTATAAAAACAATGACTAGGTGGCAGAACTTTTAAAAAACAGGAAAAGTATCTTTAAAATCAAATCTCAACTTAGGTTAGTGAATGATAGTTAAAATTCCACCCCCCCCAAACACACACACCGCCTTGTAAACTAAATTTGACTTTGAATCAATGAAAGGAACAAAAATCTTACAGTCACGTTTACATTAGCTACCAGCAACAGGTACTTCCTAGCAAATTAGCACATCAAAGCCCTTAACACATTCACCTCCACAAATATCCACGGTATCCAGGAGTGGAAGTACCAGAAACACTTTTCTGTAAAAAGCTGGCATCCACATTTTCCTAAAAATTTGAGACAGTTCTGGTCTATGCAAAAACTGGAAGGTCAGGAGGAGCAAGGGAAACTATGAATATAGTTAAACCGCTGGCAGCAGACCAGTTCCTTTGGCATGATTTCTTTATTCTGTGACTTAAAAGAGTCCAATGTTTAACTAGATTTAAAAGTACTTCATGAAGCTTCAGGAACTTGCTGGTTGTATAATAAAAACATTAAACATTTTTTTTTTTTTGAATCTTTTGTTGTACTGTTGCAAGAAAAATAATGGCGAAAGAGTGGAGTACCTAAACAACCATGTTGAGGAACACAGCAAAAACAAAAGGATTTTGTTTCTGAGCGCAGCCAACAGAGGCAGCGAACAGACGCAGCAGTTTGCGCAGCAGTGTCTGGGCTCTGCCTGGGCCTTTTGTGGGCCTTGTTGGAAGTTGTGGAGACTTTCTGGGGACCCCCGAGGAACTAGACGGTGCTTGCTGCTAGCAGGAAGGGAGAGCTGGGCAAGGACTCCTGCAGGGGACCTTGACTTAACTTCTCCTGGGAAGCTCTAGCCAGGTGGGGCTGCTGCTAACGAGCTCTCTGGGCTGCCCTGGTCAGAGGGAGTTGGGGCTTTTGTTTCAGGTGGCTCCTGATTGGGTGGGTCAAGCACCCTTGTGAGTCACTGCTAGGCAGAGGCCTATATAAGAGCCAGGCCTAGAGCGCAGCTCCCAGAGCGCAGCCAACAGAGGCAGCGAACAGACGCAGCAGTTTGCGCAGCAGTGTCTGGGCTCTGCCTGGGCCTTTTGTGGGCCTTGTTGGAAGTTGTGGAGACTTTCTGGGGACCCCCGAGGAACTAGACGGTGCTTGCTGCTAGCAGGAAGGGAGAGCTGGGCAAGGACTCCTGCAGGGGACCTTGACTTAACTTCTCCTGGGAAGTTCTAGCTAGGTGGGGCTGCTGCTAACGAGCTCTCTGGGCTGCCCTGGTCAGAGGGAGTTGGGGCTTTTGTTTCAGGTGGCTCCTGATTGGGTGGGTCAAGCACCCTTGTGAGTCACTGCTAGGCAGAGGCCTATATAAGAGCCAGGCCTAGAGCGCAGCTCCCAGAGCGCAGCCAACAGAGGCAGCGAACAGACGCAGCAGTTTGCGCAGCAGTGTCTGGGCTCTGCCTGGGCCTTTTGTGGGCCTTGTTGGAAGTTGTGGAGACTTTCTGGGGACCCCCGAGGAACTAGACGGTGCTTGCTGCTAGCAGGAAGGGAGAGCTGGGCAAGGACTCCTGCAGGGGACCTTGACTTAACTTCTCCTGGGAAGTTCTAGCTAGGTGGGGCTGCTGCTAACGAGCTCTCTGGGCTGCCCTGGTCAGAGGGAGTTGGGGCTTTTGTTTCAGGTGGCTCCTGATTGGGTGGGTCAAGCACCCTTGTGAGTCACTGCTAGGCAGAGGCCTATATAAGAGCCAGGCCTAGAGCGCAGCTCCCAGAGCGCAGCCAACAGAGGCAGCGAACAGACGCAGCAGTTTGCGCAGCAGTGTCTGGGCTCTGCCTGGGCCTTTTGTGGGCCTTGTTGGAAGTTGTGGAGACTTTCTGGGGACCCCCGAGGAACTAGACGGTGCTTGCTGCTAGCAGGAAGGGAGAGCTGGGCAAGGACTCCTGCAGGGGACCTTGACTTAACTTCTCCTGGGAAGTTCTAGCTAGGTGGGGCTGCTGCTAACGAGCTCTCTGGGCTGCCCTGGTCAGAGGGAGTTGGGGCTTTTGTTTCAGGTGGCTCCTGATTGGGTGGGTCAAGCACCCTTGTGAGTCACTGCTAGGCAGAGGCCTATATAAGAGCCAGGCCTAGAGCGCAGCTCCCAGAGCGCAGCCAACAGAGGCAGCGAACAGACGCAGCAGTTTGCGCAGCAGTGTCTGGGCTCTGCCTGGGCCTTTTGTGGGCCTTGTTGGAAGTTGTGGAGACTTTCTGGGGACCCCCGAGGAACTAGACGGTGCTTGCTGCTAGCAGGAAGGGAGAGCTGGGCAAGGACTCCTGCAGGGGACCTTGACTTAACTTCTCCTGGGAAGTTCTAGCTAGGTGGGGCTGCTGCTAACGAGCTCTCTGGGCTGCCCTGGTCAGAGGGAGTTGGGGCTTTTGTTTCAGGTGGCTCCTGATTGGGTGGGTCAAGCACCCTTGTGAGTCACTGCTAGGCAGAGGCCTATATAAGAGCCAGGCCTAGAGCGCAGCTCCCAGAGCGCAGCCAACAGAGGCAGCGAACAGACGCAGCAGTTTGCGCAGCAGTGTCTGGGCTCTGCCTGGGCCTTTTGTGGGCCTTGTTGGAAGTTGTGGAGACTTTCTGGGGACCCCCGAGGAACTAGACGGTGCTTGCTGCTAGCAGGAAGGGAGAGCTGGGCAAGGACTCCTGCAGGGGACCTTGACTTAACTTCTCCTGGGAAGTTCTAGCTAGGTGGGGCTGCTGCTAACGAGCTCTCTGGGCTGCCCTGGTCAGAGGGAGTTGGGGCTTTTGTTTCAGGTGGCTCCTGATTGGGTGGGTCAAGCACCCTTGTGAGTCACTGCTAGGCAGAGGCCTATATAAGAGCCAGGCCTAGAGCGCAGCTCCCAGAGCGCAGCCAACAGAGGCAGCGAACAGACGCAGCAGTTTGCGCAGCAGTGTCTGGGCTCTGCCTGGGCCTTTTGTGGGCCTTGTTGGAAGTTGTGGAGACTTTCTGGGGACCCCCGAGGAACTAGACGGTGCTTGCTGCTAGCAGGAAGGGAGAGCTGGGCAAGGACTCCTGCAGGGGACCTTGACTTAACTTCTCCTGGGAAGTTCTAGCTAGGTGGGGCTGCTGCTAACGAGCTCTCTGGGCTGCCCTGGTCAGAGGGAGTTGGGGCTTTTGTTTCAGGTGGCTCCTGATTGGGTGGGTCAAGCACCCTTGTGAGTCACTGCTAGGCAGAG